CCATTCTGACTGCAATTTCAACCAAGAAGAATGGACACGAAACTCAGCTATTGCTTATTCAATAAGTTTAAATAAATTATGAATTTGTTTTAATCTAAACTATCTAGCAGTTTCAGTACATAAAATTTTAAGATATTATTTAATAATTAGAACAAATTAATAAAATTAAACAGTTGCAGTGAGCAGAGCGGACTAGTAACAAGCAGCACCCGTTCACGAGTATGATGGATGAGCCAGCTATCATTACGTTCGACAACTAAATAACAACTTACCACCTGCTTGGACATTTTAGTGAGCATGACTTAATCAAGGCACCAAATTACGTCATAGCTAAATTGAAATGATTTCATGCTACATTACTACAAACCTAACAATCACAATATTTACACATTCCACAACAAAGATGCAAACGGTACTTAATAACGGAACCGCTACGTAATCTGAATTTGATAATTCCGATAGAATTATCGTTTTTAATGATTCAAAAAAAAAAAAAAACATATTCCGGTATAGAACGGCCACCCCTTCCTTTCCCGCAAATGTCTTAAGAAGCGATTACGGGAATTTAATAGTCGAGGGATGTGCAACACAGTTCCTCTTAAAACATCACCAGAGCCTAACTGTGGTTGCCAACCCGTCTGCCAAGCGTGGCAACTACTGGCAAAACCCTGCTTGCTTATGAGGGAGACCTTTTCGGCAGTGGACAGTTAAGAGCTGATATTATATAATAATAATAATGTTTCTTATTACATTTCAAATTGTTAATTCATGGACTGGTAATTAGAATACGTATAGTATAAGAATTCATTAATAGAGCTTAAACATTTTAATAATAATAAATCTATTTAAATAGTACCTATAATATGTACCTGTTTATGTAATAAGTCTTTTTGTAATTTAACTGTATAAAATATTGACATTTATTATTTTAATTTAAGGAATCAGGTGGGCCGTATGCTTGTTTGCTACCTCAGTAGTATAAAAAAAGACATTTTGCGCGAAATCGTCTTATGTGATATTACCATACTACTTTCTTAGATTTTGCTACTTTTATTAAAGTTCTTCCTAAGGGTTTCTCATATAAATATTTCTTTTATTTAGGTATATCTTTTTATCTTTTAGGCATATCTCTTATTTATAGATATTGTTTAGTTATTTATTATTATTGTGTATTTATTTTTATTTATTCATTAGTACAAATATGTGTACATGGCGGACTTAATGCTAAAAGCATTCTCTCCCAGTCAACCATAGGGAAGTGTCAGAATACTTGAATGCGGTACTACTTATTAATGATATAAATACATACTAAAATTACATATATAAACGAATAAATATATATGAATAACAAATATACTTACACATATATGACATATACTATATTATACACGAAATTTAGAATAATATAAAGCACTATGTATATACTTGTATACAGATTAATGACTGCATTGGTCGTAAAGAAAATTAAAACTCTCATGAATCTGTTTTAGCTATTGAAGTATTTTTCTTTGCACTAATTTTTCGATTAGAAAGAAAGTGATAAAACATTTTAATAACTGAAATAGTTTTGGTTTTTATTTTAGGTTTTAATTTTTATGAATAATCTTAATAAATGTCCACTACAAACATTTGTATTTGATTTCAAACTTTACACACAATTTGGACTTAATTGTTAAATTGGTGATATTAAAAGGGAAAATATTATTTTAGGTAAATGAAAAATAATAAAAAGGCTCAGCAAAAGCCACAAAACTTAAGAGCAACGTTGATGATTTCTAATTGTATTATTAAGTGGGAAGTGTCTCTCGGAATGGACGGGTGTTATTGTCACCATAATGGTTCCGGATAGAGCATCTTGTGTTATTCGTACACTGTTAAATATATATAGGGAGACTTTGTATAAAAGTCGATTGCTTTGATCGATTGATTGCAGTTGTGTTTGCATGGCTGTGTTTCGGTTTGAAGGGTGGGATATGGCGTGAATTTACAGGGTACAGAGGAATAACACCTGAGTCCTCAGGAATGGCAACGCATGGGGGGGTATCATGGGCGAAACAGTATATTCTGTTATGTCCATGGTACTGCTCATGTCTATAGGCGACGGTTACCATTTTCCATGAAGTGGGCCGTCAGCTTGTTTGCCATTCCAAGTTGTATAAAAAAAAATAGGCACCTATTGGATTTTAGACTAAGTCGCGGACTTGGTCTGCAAACCAGGATAAGATGTAGCCTGTGTCATGCTTGGATAAAACAAATACCAAGTGTAAATGAAATTTCATGACCATAGATTGAGCCGTTATAGCGGCTAGAGATGACAAACAAACAAATTCATTTTCACATTATTAATGTTAGTAATGAATTTGGTATATATTTACTCTGTTTGCAAGAATATACAAATATGCGGTTTAGATCCGGATATGGACGTCAGCATGACTCGTTGGCAGTGTTTCGCGCTAATGTACTGAAGACCATGTAGATTTGATAGTACTGCTTAGTCTTGCTTTTTATTTATATTGGAATTTTATAATAATAAATATGTAATTGTAAATTTTATTTATTATATTAATTCTTAGATTATATAGATAGAGCATCGAGTTTCAAAAAAAAAAGTTTGTCAAAATTAGCCGACTCGTTTTTTTTTATCAGTGTACTATATACTTACGTATATAATGTATACTTAATTATTTAATAAATAAAATGTTTTTTTTTTGCATTAAGTAAATGCAATAATTATAAAACAAAATAAATATAGAAATTATAAAGGAAACATAACAATTTATCACGCAAAATTGTATAAAAAAATTTACCCTTTTTTCTTGAAACACTTGTATGGAGATACTTTATTAATATAATCTAAGTATTAATAATATTATGACATTTATGTGTATGTAATCTATAGTCGACATTGTGTATAGGTATGCATTAATATCAGCATGCTATACACAAAGTGTTATTAAATTTATGCATAATATGTATACTGGTGGTGTGCTTATTTCAAATAAATAAATACTTACGTATGAGTTGACTGATATTTATTAAAAAAGAATTTGTTTATAATCAGTAATTAAAGATCCTGTTTTCGAGTTAGATATAGACAAAACAGTATTCCACGTAGACAATAGATAAAGTTTACATAGACTAAGGCAGGATCTGCAACATAGTGCCGCCCTCGCTCCGTTCTCGGTATGGTCAATACTGTTTGTATTCAATCGAACTGTTGTTTGAGATTGATCGGAGTGGAACTGAATTTTATTTATTTATTCTTTATTGTCCCTATTACAATAAAATGTTTGATACAAAAAGGTAGACTTAATGCTGTATAGTATTATGCACTAGTCAACCTTTGTAAAAACAGAAATTTAATTGACTATGTGGTGAAAAATATTGAAAATTGTTGTGGGTAAATAGTTACAGACGTATCTATATTGACTCACAAATTATCTAATATATACAATGGAGAACTACTACACATTATGATTATATACATATACTTACATGAAAATATTGTACAAATATTATTTATATATACAAACATATACCATAAAAATATACATACATACACACATACATTATAACTCATTGTAATACCAATAAAGGAATGAAAGAGTTTAAAAGTGATCATGACGAATGAACTAATTTAATAGCTTCTTCATAATTCATAAGATTCATGGACTTTTTTAAAAGTTAACTTGTTAGACACTTGTCTTATGTAAATGAGTAACGTATTCCAAAGTCGTGAGGCTGTAAGAGTGAAGGAGTTAAAAAGAAAAGCAGAGCACTGTAGTGGACTAGAGAGAGCAAGAGATTTGTTAGAGCGAAGTGTGCGTGTATGAAAATCACAGAGATAGATAGCTAAACCTGTAAGGGATTGTAGTATGAGTACACACATTGTTTTTTACGTAATTTTCGGACATAAAAATAATTGAAATAATGATTTATGTATTTTATATTTCTTTGTTTATTTCAGGTAGTTTATGAAAATATCTACTCATTAAGTATAGTTTAATTTTTAGAAATCTTTAGTAATGTAAAGACCTAATTAAACTATGCATAATTAAAAGTTTTAGTTATTTAGTAAGTCTGACTAATGGTGTATGAATTTATGTTTACAAAATAGTTCGCACGGCCTTGCTAGACGATCGTTCTCGGTTAGTGCTCACCTTATTAGTAAATATTAGGATACGGAAATAGACTATTTAGTTCATAGTATTTGGTTCAAATTAAATAAAAAATAAAGTTAGGAAATCAAAGAAATTGACCATTTCTAGATGAGAATAAATATTAATACATAATAATATACATCAGATTTTAAGTTAGACTTTCGGAATCATAATTGTAATAACCGCACCGAATTTGGTTTAGTAGTTTTTGGGTGATGTCGAAACAAACAGACAGACTAGACATACAAACAAAATATCTAAAATGTATTGTTCTGCCATTTATCGTACTAACACTCCTTATATTATTTTTAAATAATATAAGGAGTTAAATAAATATCTTCCACGTATAGATATTACCTAGTTACAATGTTATTAGTAAGACGAGTAGGATTTTGCTCCAAGAAAAACGGGATCTTCAACCGTTATTATCAAAATTAATATAGTACCAACATTAGAGTAACCGAAAAGAAGTATTAAAATAGGTTCAGAATTAAGGAAGATATTACGTACAATAATTAATAAGTAATTAAGAAACTCTTCCATAAAGAAATCGCTTAACATATAGTCGAGGTGATTGAGTCTCGTCGTTGTTTAAAAATAAATACCAATTTTTTATATTTCTGAATGTTTTGTAAATGATAATAAAATGAATTAAATTATAATTATATACCTTGTTCTTAATAATATATATAATAATTGTTAGATCAATAAATATACGAATAAGACAAAATATTATGAACCGATTCTAAATTACCCAGCCTTGAGTTTCTTTAGAAAAGTTTGCATTCATTATTTTATTGAGGTACCTACCAAGAAGGGTCGTAAAAGTAAAGTACTTACAAAATTGAAACTTCTCTCCGAGAGTTCGCCTTTTCTCCCTTATCTTGTTCTTGAGTATCCTTCTCTTTAATCGGTTAAGTACAACGTCAGCTTCGTCCACACTTTCAGAAGACGACGTATGATTCATGTCCATTGCGCCACTAACTGAATGTCTGCGGTCTTTTGTAAACATGTTAACAGTTTTATTTTTCACCTCAATTTCTGATATACCACGTCTATACATCTTCAAACGCTTTTTCATTTCATAATCCGCTGCAACGTCCGTTGGAATATTAATGAATTCATTGTCAGACATGTTATCGTCTATTTTACAGGAGCGCCATACTTTATTCGCAGGGAATTTTGGCAATTCGTTTCGCTTCATTGGCGCGCGAGAATTTCCTACAGATTCAATTGTTGGGTGTCGGTTTATTGTAAACCAATCCGGATTAGGGCACCGTCTGGCGGGTAAACTTTTTAAGTAAGTGTTGAGAAAAGAAACCTTTTTGTGTGGAGGTAGATACATCACGCCAGATTTGGAACGCTGTACTGTATTATCTATATATTTATTAGTTTCTTCCCTCATGATAGTGTCATTGAAAGATTTTGATTTATGTAGTCGCAGAGAAATATCAGTTTCGTCAACAGTTGGTATGATATTTTGATCTATTTCACTTAGAGACGAGAGTGACGAACTTTTAGAACTCTTTTCTGAATATGCGTGGCCATCAAATTTTGGTATATTTATGCCATCTTTTAATATTGTCTGCTTTGGATCATAAGTATCATTGTCCGAACTTTTATAACTGCTTAATTCGCTAATACCGTCAGATTGATAAGGAGTGGTATCCAAACTATTTGATTGAAAATACTGAAAGTTATTAGATAATGTAACTGTACTTGGAATGTTTGATATATTGCTGCCATCGCGAATAATGTAACTATGATTATTATTTTGAATATTATTATCACTAGTACAAACAGGTACTCTATAAATACGCGTATACACTTTATCTCCAGAAATTGTATTGTGTTTTCTAATAGCAGCCTTTTTATCAAGATAATGTTTATAATCTTTCTCTTTTAATGACTGGCTCGTTTTCAAAATACGTTCATCAAAATCAGAACTCTTTATAGATATGTTGTCGTTATTTGTTTCGACGAGCAGATTTCCGTCGCAATCAAAAAGTTGTATAGTGGGAAATTTTATCCCCGGAGAAAGATTTCGTGTTCGGAGCTCCCATTTTCTTTGACAAGGTTTCCGCAATTGAATTCTTATTATGTTATCATCTATTATAGGACCATCACTATCACTTGAAGCTTTTATCGTCGACATTGTTGTAGTTATTTTTTATCGTATTCGACATGTGCGATAGAATTTGGCTAGTGTGGGTAACGTTATTGTTAGTATTCGCTAAATTGTTTGTTTACAATCAGCTGCTCTTATTAATTTTGGCATTTTGCCAAACACAACAATCCTCTGACATTCACTTTAAACATCACCAATGTCAATTTTGTTTTTCTACAAAAATAACAAACTGTTGACACTTATTTTTACAATTATGAATATTTATACACAACCGGTCGCTTTCGTTCACTGTAATATGTTTACTGAACATCACACTGTAACAATTTGACGTTTGATGTTGAAAATTATTGCATAAGTTCTATGCGCACCGATTGCGCGCAATTGCACCGTCTAATGAGTTCACTTGAATTTAATTTGCATTCGTTCAACGGGAACTATTGAGATTGGGATCTGTCGGATTGTTTGGCAGTCATTTCGCGTTTTGCCTTTCTCTGGCGCTTTTCCTACGGTACACCCTCTGGGAGGGCACCGTGGATTCTTGGTCGTTCGCGTCTCCGGACATTTCTGCACTGAGAACGAACAGCTGAATAGACTCGAGGTACTATAAATAGAGAACGAATGAAACGCTGACTTTGCCGGCTCCCCTTGAACCTAGTAGTACGCGTTGTTTGCGGCAAAACAACGTAAGATGTGACGTAAACACGCCAACTGTTCGCACTGACACAGTTTTCCATTTGATCATACGCCGCGACCATGTGCATTGTACTAATAGGTGCGCGCAGCTGTTCATTTACACAATACCATATTACGTGTCGTCTTTTGAGATTTAACACTGAATTTGTTCTAGAAAAGTCATGAGATGTAATTGGTTAATTTATGTTTTACTTGATATTAACTAATGTTAGGTGTTACAATGTTTTTTTTTTTTTTTTTTTTTTATAGAACTTAGAATGGCAAACAAGCTGACGGCCCACCTGATGGAAAGTGGTAACCGTCGCCTATAGACATGAGCAGTACCATGGACATAACAGAGTATACTGTTTCGCCCATGATACCCCCCATGCGTTGCCATTCCTGAGGACTTAGGTGTTATTCCTCTGTACCCAGTAAATTCACGCCATATCCCACCCTTCAAACCGAAACACAGCCATGCAAACACAACTGCTTCACGGTTGAAACACGAATGGGACAGAGGTACCCAAGCAATCGACTTTTGTACCATGTTACAACATTACAAAAAAAAGTATAAGCAATAGTTGAGTTTCTTACCCGTTCTACTCAGCTAAAATTGCATTCTGAATGAGCGGTAGAATCATAAAAAAGAGGCTAATTGAAAATGCTTGTAACTGAGATTACTTGAATAAAAAAATATACCTATAATATTATATTAATATTAAATAACTATATATATTTTTCATATAAATGATGGAAAGTTTTATCCGCCTGATGGAAAGTGGTAACCGTCGCTTATGGATATGAATAGTAACATGGACATAACAGAGTATATTGTTTTGCCCATAATACCCCCTATTTCTGACTAAGTATTATACTTTTGTACTCTCTATATTTTAATATTGTGTAGCATATGCACAAATTTAGAATTTTTACTTGAAGTAGGGTTAAACTACTCCAAAATTCTATGTATTCGTGTCCAATATGCTCTTGGTAAGTTTTTCGTATCTAAAATTCGTATGTTTACTCAATAATGTTGATGCTAGAGCTTATTTTTATTATTGTGTATATAAGTGTAGGTGAATATTTTCTTATTACACTTTGTATCCACCCACACACATTTACTCCACCGACATTAATCCATCGGATATAGGTTATTTAAATATTTTCTATTACATTCACCTAAATATTTCTATATGTTTTTTTTACAAAGTAAACTTCGTATAAGTAGAAATAAAAATACAGTATTTTTATTACTAGTATTATATACTATAATAAAATATTGTCTCAATCTAAAGAATTACTGTGTATTTTACCCTTGTTTGTACGTAAAGAGTCCTGAAGTTCATCAGTATATAAATTAATTATACATATGTGTTACTGTACTGATGCTATCATGAGTGAGCATATTGGGAAACTGTAAAGCACATTCAGTTGATGAAAGAAATAAATAATATTCTATTAACCAAGAAAAGATAATAGTCACTGTATGCATTAATGAGATAAAAGAATGTAATTTAGGAATGTATTAGATTTATCCCATAGAGGTCCATAGCATAAAAACATTTAGCTTGGAAAAAGCACAGAATTTGTAGCTCCATAATTATATTCCTCAGCCACGAAGATTTAATCAAGAAGATTTACTGGTTTTGTTTTTATAAAGATGAGTCCAACGCACTATGAGCCGAAACGGTTGTCATGGCTGATGACGGTCGGATAAGTCATTGTCATCAGTGGAGATAACTGTAATAATTGTTTTCGGGAGAGTCTAAATCGAATCTCGGACCTGATTTATGAAAATCAATATATTCACCACTATACTTACACGCTCAAGGTTATTAATTTAATAGTCTATAATCCAATGTCAATGTCATATGTATAGTCAATGATTAGCCGTTCAGTTGATCAATTTGACAAGCAATTGTGCTATCTCGCAAACGAGCGTTATTAATGTGACGGTTATACTCTTATGGACCATTGGATACAGTAATAATCGTTAGACTGAAACAACTACAGATGGGCACCTATTTGTTAGACAAAATATCGGTGTAGTATTAATATTTTATGACTCTATTGTGGAACATTCGACAAACTACATCCTGGAATAGGTGCCTCAAAGTTTTGAGGACGAAACACTCTATATATTTATTTATTTTACACTTTATTGCACCAAGTAAAAAGAAAAATAACACAGTAAATATCAATGAGAAGTGATACAAAAGGCCGCCTTATCGCTAAGCAATCTCATATATACGCATATTTTAGAATCGAACGTGTCTATATACGAAATTGTTTTATGTAAAAAGTTTTGATTTTTATTCATTCAGATTTATTAAAAATGTTTTTTTTAAAAATGAACAAATAATGTAGACGGTGCTGTACATTGTACGAACGTCCCTAAAAATCCATCTATAAGTCGCTAGTTCATATTTGGCTCGAAAGACCACTAGGGCATGCAGGAATGTTGTTGTTTTAAAATTCGTCTAAAATGGGCAGGCAAAGAGCATTGCCTATACAGGCTAGTCATAAGTTATTATCAGTTTTTAATAAATGGAGTGAAAATTATTTCATATGTATTTTATACTCGTATTAATCTTCATAGGAGTTGTAACTACTAGGGCATGTAGGAATCAAAATGTACTTATGTTTTTTTTTTTAATTAGATAGCTGCATAGCACAGTGCAGAGCGCTTGATAGTTCATTGAAACCAGGTAATAATGTTGCCATATTTTCATTGAGGCTTCCATATTAAATGTTATTTTAAAAATTATTTTTGGTATTATTTGCAGTTATATGTTAAAATTAAATATAATTTTAGATCTTAACAGTAACTAGCAATAAAAATATAATGACCATTGCTATAAATCACTATTTGATATGAGCAGCCAACCAGACCGCATGCCAAATTCATTCGTACAATGACTGCCATATTTCTCTGACATGCTCACTGAACCTTGTCGCTACCGTTATGTACAAAATGAGCTCATAAATTATTATTTATTTATTTAATTATAACTAAGAGAGTTCAGCATTAACCAGTTATCTTATTAGTAATTCGATCTCTTTGTCATTTAGGTATATAGACGGCATTCAAGTATATATATATATATATATGAAAGTACTAATCAGTATAGTAGAAGCCAAAACAATATTTGTTAGATTTTTGTTTATCTATGTTTGCTTTAATATTACGATAAAAGTATTGCATCCAATAGGATGCAGATTGCACACATGTATTTATGAAGGTTGAGCTTGAAATCTGGTGTGTTTTATCTTGATACATCACCTAGATGTGTTATTTCTTCTTATTTGACAAAATACCGTTAACCTATTCCCAAAATGCATTTATACACATACAGTCGCGGGCAAAATCTAGTGGTATATAAAAATATATTAAATTCATGACAACCCATTAACGTCCCCACTTCTAAGCTCCGGTCTCTCCATAAGAGGAGAATCTTAACTTTCTATTACCACATTACTGGCTAGGCGCGTTTTATTTAGAGTTTAATAGAAATCAATTTTATCAAGTGTGTAATTTTATTAACCACCTTTTAGTCTAATATAAAGTACACATAGGGAATGCCTTTAAGTGAATTACAATTTTCGCCTTCACACGGTTTATTGGTTCTGCAATAATATCGTTATGTCAGGTTTTAACGGGTATGTGAAATTTAACATTTTAGACATGTCTGGCGACAAACCAATTAACTGTACCTATTGAATTCTCTCTATCATCGGCGCTATAACGAAAACGTGTCCATCGACAGATTCTTTCATCCTATTAATATTATAAATGCGAGTAACAATATATGGATGAATAGATAAATGTTTGTTATTCTTTCACGCAAAAACTACTAAATGGATTTAAATGGAATATAGTACTTGTTTAGGTTATATCCTAACTTAGTATATATAATATTTTATGTACTGAATCACGCAGGTAAATCAATTGGGACAGGTTACTTATATAGGGACCAAATAGTTTTAACGATTTATAATTACAAATTATTAAAAATATCGTTTCATTCTAAAAGTACCGTGGAATCTAATATTTTAACATAAAATGTAACATTTAAATAGTGGATTTATTTGAATAGTGGAAACCAGAGGGAGACTTTGTACAAAAGTCGATTGCTTGGGTACCTCTGTCCCATTCGTGTTTCAACCGTGAAGCAGTTGTGTTTGCATGGCTGTGTTTCGGTTTGAAGGGTGGGATATGGCGTGAATTTACTGGGTACAGAGGAATAACATCTGAGTCCTCAGGAATGGCAACGCATAGGGGGTATCATGGGCGAAACAGTATACTCCGTTATGTCCATGGTACTGCTCATGTCTATAGGCGACGGTTACCACTTTCCATCAGGTGGGCCGTCAACTTGTTTGCCATTCTAAGTTGTATAAAAAAAAATCAATTTACGAAAATTAACAATGTTCCATAAAATTAAAAACAATTTTTTTATAATACATGCAGATATGTGGATATATTTACAGGTGTATTTTTCTTCTGGAAAATTCTGTACTGATAAATATTTCTATGCCGGCACTTCACGACTGCGTATACCTCTACCATGAGTGTCGTAAGAGGCGACTAAGGGAACTCAATGGTTGAGGGATAGGTAGTAGCGTACGTCTTAAAAGACCACCAAAAGCCTGACTGCGTATGCCAACTTCCTGCCAAGCGTGGCAACTACTGGCAAAACCCCCATGGAGGAGGCTTATGTTCAGCAATGGACAATTAACAACTCATACGTTGAAAACATTTCTATACTGAAAATATAACTCAGTGCAGTCTACAACAAGAAACAGTTAACAATGGGCTCGTAATTAACAGTCAGTTTAGGAAACTCCAGCGTCTGGTTACCGACTTTGCAAGAAGGTG